GGAAAAACTTCATGCAGGCTACATAGGCCCGTCAACAGAGAATATACAGCCCCTACAGTATAAGCTAAAACCCCATAACACCTCCAAGTTTACAGTGTACAACCCTCACAAGCCCTTTTTCTCTCTCTATATATAGACATTCTTATATTATATAACCCCATAAAGCATACGTAGCCCCTATCTATCTGTCTATCTATCTTTCTTTCTGTCTATCTATCTCTGTATCTCTCTTCTATCTATCCATGTACCTATTTATTTATCTATCTATCCATCTACCTATCTATCTATCCATCCATCTATCTATCTATCAATCTATCTATCAATCTATCAATCTATCAATCTATCAATCTATCTATCTATCTATCTATCTATCTATCTATGTATTTATCTATCTATCTATCTATCTATCTACCTATCTATTTATCTATCTATCTATCTATCTATCTATTTATCTATCTATCTCTATCTAGACATACATACCTATCCTGATCGATGAGTCCCCAGACTCGGATTAGCCATGTTGTTCTGTAGGGTTTCGGCGTGGAGGCTTGGGGTTCAGGGATAACAGTGGGCTTGAGGTGTATATAGGGTTTCGTGCTTCGGGTTTAAGGATTTGGGTTTACAGTGTATAGGGTGTAAGGTTCCCGGCGTAAGCTTTAGAGTAGTGCTTTGGAGTAAGGGGTTGAGGCGTAAAGTTTAGGGGTTTCGTTTTGCCTCCCAGCTGCAGCAGAGGCCGGAACCAGGTGGATGGCGACGTCTTCAACTAGCTGGCGCACGGAAAAAACAAGCTCAATTCTTGAAGCCGCAAGCCTTAAACCCCTCAACCCTAAACCCTAGACCCTAAACCCCTTCACACTCAACCCTACAACCGTAAACAGACCCTGTAAAGCACCAGAAGCCCACCACTTCACAGAGCAACTTTAGACCCGTCATCTAACCAGGAAGGATGCAACTCCAACTAAATCAAAGCCTTGGCGTTCCACACCCCAGGGTTGAGGGTTTTCGGGGTCTATAGGATCGGGCTTAGGGTTTACCGTCACTTACAAAGAGGAGCTCTAAATCCTCATAAGCCCTCCAGAGAGCTAAACCCTACAGAAGCCCTTCGAGCTCTTACAGTCTTACCCCTTTCTAACATCTTGTAGAACTCTGGTTTTTCCATTCAAAATGTTTGGAGATAGGAGTAAAAAACTTCAAAACACCCTCAACCCGAAAGGCCTAAGCCAGTAGAACCCTTCTTAAACCATTGTAGATCCCGATCAAAAAACTGACGAGAAAGCCCTAAACCCTAAACCAGCAGAGCCCTCGTTCAATCAATACATCCCCACCAGAAATGCTTAAAACCTGAAGCTTAACCATCTTAGACCTGTCGTGCCAGCGCCAGACAGCTACCAGCTGAAAAGGGCGTGTGGGGGTCGTTCGGGCTTCTGACTCTAGAGGTGTGTTTTTAATTGCGGTTTGCAAGGTTTTGTGGAGTTTTGGAGGTTTTTACGAATTTTGGAAATGTGTAACAGGGTTGTCTTGTGTCCTTGTCGGAGCTGCTGTCAAAGCGCAAGCGCATCTGTACGACTCTCTAGGGATCATTGCTATGCGAAGCCCTGGCACCTAATCCCTAAACTTTGTCTGTTTTCTTTAGTCACTTTCTACTTGGCTATCGACTGAACCCTGCAATGCGGGCTTGTCCTGGCTAGGTGGGAGGCAATCAACTTAAGGAAAGCCAAACATGAATGATCCTACATCTGCTTGCGTGTCCTAGAGGCTGACATCTAGACCCACAAAATTGACAGGGTTTTCGGTTTGATAAGTATAGAAGAGGGGCCGCTAGTGTGAGGGGAGGGTCTGAGACGTTGGCTGGACCCTTCTTACTGTATTTAGCTAGGTTTCAGCTCGGAAGAGGAGTAAATCAGGCTGGAGGATGCCCAACAAGTGCCCCCATTCAGTAACAGTTCAATAGAATTTCAAAATACAGGTATATACAGCCTTAAGAGGACCCTTATTAGAGAGTGCTATCGTATGCGGGCAGCACCCAGGAAATAAACTAGCCCTATTCCTCAACATTGAAACTTCAAAAGCCCCTCAGCCCTTGTTCTACGTTTCCCTGTGAGGTCCCGGCTTTCGGGCTCTAAGTGGGAAGCATGAACACGGTTTGGGGTTCAGGGGTTTTTAGGGGTTTTAGGGGGTTTAGGGGTGTTAGTGGGTTTTTAGGGTTTAGGGTTGTTCGGAAGATCTCCCCTATCAGCGCCAACCCTGAGCAACTTCCACCAAATCTCTCCAGTCTCATCCCCGCTTGCTGTTCAGGGGTTCGGGTTTAAGGGTTTAGGGGTTCGGGGTTTAGGGTTCAGGGTTATAGGTCTACATGCTCATGATACAGCTGCTTGAGGGGTTCCATCATGGATCGCATGTCGCAGCAGGGGTTTTGAGGCTCATAGCCTTAATCTCTAGAGACATGGAAGCCCCTCATTGCTTGGATGACTTCGACTTCGCGAGTCACAGAACTCCTCAACCCTAAAGCCTAAACCCTAAAACCTGTGTACTTGGTTGCACTTGTTGTTGGTCTTGTCTGCTTTGGGCTCATGTTTGTCCTTGGTTTCCACCCCCCAGATTCTGTGGACATTCCAACGTCATCCCAGCGGAACGACTTTGTCAGCTGGGCGGGTGGGGAAAAAACACATCGCCCCACAAGCCTAAACCCTAAACCCTCAACCCTCAACCCCCAAGCCCTGACCTTGCCAGGCTTGTCCGAGTGTGAGTGTCCAAAAAGCCCCCAAGCCCTAGCACGAAGGGTCCGAGTCGGCCAGGTGAGGCGTACTCCACGCCGTACCCGGTGTCGGTGCCCCAGGGCTGCTGAAGCCCAGGATTCCACGAAAGGTTTTCTGAAGAAAATAGTAGCAACATAGGGTTTAGGGTCTAAGGTTTAGGGTTTAGGGTTTAGAGAGGGCATGGCTCCCGGCTGGTTAGAGAGAGCTCCGGGTTTAAAAAGGGTTTCGCGCGGTACCTCGTTTGTAACTTGACTTAGGGCCCGTGTAGTAAGGATGCTCGTTTATCGGGTTCTATATTTGGGTCCTCTGGTCTCTGAAGTTCCCCCGGTTGTGTCTGCATCAGTATGATCAGCATCAGCAGTATCATCAGTCCCCCTCTCCATGTTCCTGTCCCTACTATGCATTGTGTATGTGTGTATATATATATATATCTCTCTCTCTCTCTCTGTCTTTATGTATATACAATATCATGTATAATATACAACATATAGTATGTGGTATATGTGTTAAAATATATAACAGGGTAGTGATTGTCATCAGCCGAAGTCGATCAGCAATACCAGGATCTTGGAAATGTCTGACCCTCATTCGCTGGCCTGGCTTGTCGGAGTGTGAGCACCGAAACCACAAGTCCTTTTGCAACCTAGGCCCCCCAACTACCCTCTAATATACCCTAAACACTCACTATTAAGGGCCATAAGGGCTCTATTAAAGGGCAGTCGGGGGGGTCCTGGAACAGAACCATAACCCTGAACCCTACACCCTAGAGGCAGATCGCCCCAAACGGCGTCTCCTTCTCTGGGCGCATCGCTTGGCGGCTGCTGGCGAAAGGGCGGAGTCCTCACAGGGATTAGGGTTACAGTTTTCAGGGTGAGGCACAATGGGCATGTGCCCAGGTTCTATACATTCTCGCATCTGAGGACCTATTAGATGTTATAGGGCATGTCTCAGGGTTCAAGCGCTAGCTGATCATGCCATGTGTTCATGACGTTCGTTTATTGGCGGCGATCAGGAAATGCCTGTGAGGATTTGAATTGGTAGCTGAAGGTTCAGGACTTGGGGAATAGTCTTCAGCGTCCTCCCTGTGGGAATGTTAGACGGCAAGAGACACCGAATGAAGCGCGAAGTCACAAACAGTACGTAGGATACTGATTCCGTGTAGGAGGCCACCCTATCGGCGTGAGCAGAGCACGAGTTGTGTTTTTGTGCAGGTCGCCATAGAGACCTACATAATAAATCCGAGGCCCTAAACCCTAAACCCTAAACCCTTAAAAACAAACCGAAACACTTCCCATGGTTGCAGGCCTAACCGCAACGGCTGGCAGGCACGGCGCTCAGTTGAATTGCGGGTTCAATACCCCGACCTCGGGCTTTTGGGCTCGGCAGTAATATGGGTAGATTTCTAAATTAGGGTCCCTTTTAGGGTCCTTATTATTATTATTATTAACGGACATCAGTCGGTCGTTTAGGGTCCTTTTTATAAGGGTGCCGTAGTATATTGGGGACCTAAAAGGGGACCCTAATTTAGAGAACTACCCATATAGGACCTGAAGGATGGGCTCATTGCAAGGGTTCGATATCTTATGGAGTAGGGTTTAGGGTTTAGGGTTTAGGGTTTAGGGTTTAGGGTTTAGGGTTTAGGGTTTAGGGTTTAGGGTAGAGGTTACGTAATGAAGAACCCCTGCGGAATATTATCGGTCATTCTTCAAGTCTTCAGGCTTATACTATGTCAGGTTAAGTTTTAGCGGTTTGCGGCTCAGGGTTCCCATGGACGAGGGCTGGGTGCACCCTAAACCCCGAAGCCCAGAATCCGAATCCTTCAAAGCCTAATTAAGCCTCAAGCCCTAAACCTCAAAACCCTAAACCTCTAGGTTTGCAGGCTTGCTCGGATCGCGGGGCTTCATCCGGGGACAGCTTTAGGAGTGATCCCACTGTTGAAGTTGTCCGGTCGAATTTTTAGGATTGATATTGGGATCAGTTAGTATCTGAAACTCGTCGGTCAGAATACATACGACAACAACGACGAAACTAAACAGGGGTCCCTGTTGCATCTGATTCAGATTGCTTGGTTTTTGTGACCTAGTACTCTATCACGGAAGTCCGCAACCCGATTTAGTCGGGCCTGCATCAATCTCATATTCGCATAGATGCCTGCAAGGGAACGCCAGCTGAGGGGTGAATCTGCGATCTACTCGGAAGCGGTTTAGCCTCGAGTGTTCTGTCTGTGAAAAGTGATGTGTTCATATGTCTAGCGTGATGAGCCTCATGCTGCTCTTCACATCGCTGCTGCTCTTGGTGAGCAACCACCACGTCATCGGCTTGCGAAGAGGAGGCTGGGAATCGAGACCCACCGTCAGTGTTCAGGATAAAAAGTAGGGGCCTCAATAGTCATGGTTCGGGGAATATGGTATATGATATGATATACACTGCTATAATGATTTATAATGGTCCTTGGTTGCACCGGTTGAGTTGGAGTTTGTGCCGGATCCGGTACACAGCACGTCCATGCTTGCTACATGCGATGTGTCAGCACCCTTGACGCGCTCCTGTCCGAGAGCGCAGGCAGGCAAACCAGGTGGTTTCGGGTTTAGGGTTTAGGGTCCTTGTCGGGACTTTGCACTCGGCGGGAGGATGCACGCATGCATGCGGCAACCGTAGCAAGCGGAAACGCCAAGACGAGAATGTTCGGGCCCGCCTCAGTGTCCATCGTGCTTCGAAGATCAAGCGTGCCATATCCCAGTTTCCTTTGCTCCTGTCGCTCTCCTCGTTTTGCTCCGGTGTCGGAGAGGGAGCCCCCCAGAAGCAGTCGATGTGTTGGGTTTCTGGGCCGCGCACAACCTCCTTCTTGGCCTCAGGAGAGTTTTATTCCGGGAGATGTATCAGCCTGGGTTTCGAGCGGCACTGGGGTTGTCCTGCCTCAGCCCTACACCCTATAGATCCTGTATCAAGCCGAAACCCTGAAACCGAACTTCCGGCATGGTCCGGAAAACCGCTTGAAGGGCTATAGTCGCGGATTTGCATCCAGGCATCGCCGAGAAGGAGGCCCGAGGCAGCTTCTTGGAACCCGACCCCTCCCGTGCCTTGGCATTGGCACTGCATGCGCAAACTGTCATTGCTCCCTGTTCGTCGTTGCGTCTCTGTCGCTCACCCTCTCCCTGTCTTTCTTTTAGGCCTCTTCTCGCTCGCTCGCTCTCCCTCTCTCTCTCTCTCTATGCGTGTCTCTCTCTCGCTCTCTCTCTCTTCCTGTCCGTCCGCACAAGAGCTGCCTAAAGCTTCAAGTGACACCGTTGGAATCTGGTGGAAAGGGAATCAGAATGAAATGTCCACTCCCAGGCTGTGAAGAAGAGATCAGGTTGCTCAAGAGGAAGATACAGGACAGCTGCGAAGAGGACCATGCAGGGAAGGCAGAAGCCATCCCCCTGGTCCTCAAGATTAGCAGTAGGCAAGTTCTCTAAATTAGGGTCCCTTTTTTAGGCCCTTATTGATAAGGACCCTAAAAGGACCGTAGTTTAGAGAACTACCCAGTAGGATGTCTCCTCGAGCCCTGAACCACCCTAAACCCCAATCCCTGACAGTCCAAACCCTATAAACCCTTTGTTGAAACCGGACTTGATGACTGCAACCCTAAACCCTAAACCCGCTCAGGACCAGCAGAATGGCAAGACGGTTTCGGACGGAGGCTGCGAAGCCGAGGTTGGGAGAAGTTTCAAGTGCAAGGGTACACGTACTGTAGGCCGTACATATACTCCCGCACCCAGACTCTCAAAGAATACCCTCTGCTACACCTCAAACTCCAACCTTTTTTTTGGACCATCAAATCCGGGTACTTAGGGGCTTCATCGGCAGGCTGAAGCCGTTGTCAGCGATGGGGACTACGAGGTCTGGAGCCAGAGCTTGGTGAAGTGCGGGCCGGCACCTCGCCAGCTTTGTCCACCAGTTAATCTAGAGAGGTTGGTCCCAGAAGCCCCGCTTGATCCATAAGTTAATTAGAGGTATATGGGCCCCGATTGTAGATTTGAGATACCTGGGATACAACGGAAAGATGGAAGGGCTATGTCTGAACCACTAGGTATAGCCCCGGTCTGGGGGGACCAGGCATCGTCTTCTTGTCCCCGCTTGCTTTAAGGAGAAGACACACCTCTTGCTTTGGAGCGGCTATCAAGATGCAGAGTGTGAGGAAGTCCTGCGGCCACTGCGACAAGAGGGCGGCTGTGTCCTTCAAAGCACGGACGGGCTTCAGACAGTCTCTGCAATTAAGGTACCCAAAATCATCGCAAGAGTCTCTCTGAAATTTGGTGCAATGGTGCCAATAATTATGTAGCTTGTTGGACAGGTCTCGGGGACTCGGGGTGATGGGTACGGTAGTTTCTATATCTCTAAAGCTACCTGCAGTCTCCATTGTAGTTCTTTCTTGTGGTTTAACCAATAACATATTAAGGATTTTATAAGGCATCCCCAAAAAGGAACTACAATGGAGACTATAGGTAGAGGAGATTTTTGCAGATAGCCGTTGACTCGAGGAGAATTCGGACACGCGGCTTGGGCGGCTCCTGAATGCTCCCGGCGTGAATACTCTAGAGTCTTGCAGCTTTCCGAAGGCGGGAAGCGCTTAGTCTAAGTGGATTATGGGTTTGGAGACATTGTGCGGGATCTTCCGGAGAACCAAATGTCCCGACAAACGGCCTTGAAGAATTCAGCAGTCAGTTTGCTCAAACCGTTCTTTTCATGCTGGCCCTGAAGGTCAAAGCCTTCTGGGTTGGTGCATCCAGGCAGTTCGCCAGCACCTGGGCGGCGAGGTCCCAAGAAGTCAGCGTCGCGATCGGCTATCACATTCAGGAAGGACGGTCTTACAAGACTCTCTTCGACACAGTCTTCTACAGGAGTGAACTGAAAGCTGCTGTTCAAGCCTTCCGGGACAAACTGCAGGTGACCGTCACCTTCACGCACCCTGGCATGACACCGATCGACATTCACGCAGCAACTTCGGTCATTTACGAGAGGGCGCGCTTGCTGTCGCCAGCCCGGAGAAGTTTCAGGAGACCACGGCGTTTCACTACGGCTCCTGTGCCAAAGAAACCCTTGCATCCTGCCAACATCATAGTCTCCTCGACCCCGAAGATGCTAGTTTCTTCTCCCATCTCGCGGTCATGTACTCCCAGGGCTGGGGGGTGGCTCGCGATTTTCTGGAGGCACGGAGACTTATGGAACTCGGTATGGAGAGGGGCGACGCTGTGGCCACCACCGCGCTTGGACTCGCATACCAGACTGGGCAAGGTGTAGCCCAAGACTTGCGCAAAGCCAAATGGATGTACGAGCTTGCCATCAAGAAGGGCGACATCGTTGCCTTCAGCAGGCTTGGATACTTGTACGAGACTGGACAAGTTGTAGTCCAAGACTTTCGCAAGGCCAAGGAATTGTATGAGATTGGTATTGAACATGGCGACGAACTTTCCAGGACTAGACTTGGAATGTTATACGAGAACGGGCATGGTGTAGCCCAAGACTTCCACAAAGCCAAAGAGCTTTATGAGGTTGGCATGAAAAATGGCGACGACCTTGCCCTCGTCAGGCTTGGAGTTTTGTACGAGTCTGGACACGGTGTGGTCCAAGACTTTCGCAAGGCCAAAGAAGTTTACGCATCAGGCGTCGCGAAGGGCAGCACCAGCGCCAAAACTTGCCTCGGGCACTTGTACCAGTACGGCCTCGGGGTGACTCGCGACCTTCAGGAAGCACGGAAGCTGTTTGAGCTGGCCATGAACGAGGGCGACGCTGAGCGACCTTTTTCCTTGGAACTTTGTACCAGTTTGGGCAAGGTGTACGGCAAGACTTCCACCGGGCCAACGAACTGTATGAGATTGGCATCGAAGGAGGCAACGCCGACGCCTTCGCTTCCCTTGGGCACATGTACTGCCACGGCTTGGGGGTGGCCCGTGACTTTCACAAGGCGAGGGAGCTTTTGGAAGCGAGCCTGCAACGGGGATGTCCCCGCGCCGCCACCGACCTCGGCATCTTATACGAGAACGCGCAAGGCGTGGCCCAAGATGTCCACAAGGCCAAAGACTTGTATGAGATGGGCATCAAAAGTGGCGACGACCTTGCCCCAGAGCATCTTGGACACATGTACCGCGATGGCCTCGGGGTGGACCAGGATTGGAAAAAGGCCAAAGAATTGTATGAGCTGGGCATCGAAAGGGGTAGCACTTCTGCCATGTGGTACCTGGCCTTTCTCTACAGGAACGAGTTGCATTCCGATGAGCTGGCGTGTGAATGGATGGCCAAAGCGAAAGATGCTGACAAACTGGCCGAATGGCACTGCTGAGGGTCTACTCTGAGCTCCTCTTCTGCATTCATGCAGCTAGTATTTCCCATCTCGGTTCTTTGCCCCGTGTAGTAACCCATAATTGAACCCATGTTTACGCCGAAAGGAAGCCTAGTTTGAACCTTAAGCCCTAAACCCTACTGACGCCAATCCCTCAACCCTAGCCCCTCAACGAAAAACGAACCTGATGACGACAGCACGAGCTAAGGCCTCCAAATTCGGACCGCAGGCGGCGGCGTCAAAAGCTGACATTTCGAGCGGCGGTTCGAGCTCTAGGACATGTCGGGTTTAGGGTTTGAGCAAAAGGATGTCGAGTTTAGGGTTCAAGGTTTAAGGTTTAGGGTTTAGGGTTTCAGGGTTTAGGGTATACTGGATGCAAACGGGTTTATAGGGTAGGGTCAGAAGTGGACCTCCTTCCGTAAGTTCTCTCCTCGCATGATCCCGATTCCAACCCTGCAAAAGGCCCAGAGTGGGTCCTGCTCATAGACTTAGACCTCACCGGGGATGTATTGATCAGGCTTTGGGATAATGTTACATAGATTTTATATGATCTTACACGGTTCTAAATGTTTATTGTTTGAGTAAGGTAGCTACCACTGCTATACTTTAGAGTTTCTTATTATGACCATGCTTCAGGCTTTGGGAGAGGTTCAATGTCCCTTTAGTTGTGTACGTTGAGGAGCAGCCGCTGCGTTCAGCAGGGTTTAGGGAGATCTGGCTAGACTTGGGACCAATGGCAAAAAGGATTTAGGGTTTAGTAGCTAGGGTTTTGAGGATCGAAGATGCTTCGCACATCACACCAAGGAAGCGCAATTCTTCAAGGAATGGCTAAAGCAGCAAGCAATCAAGGAGAAAGGTAGTGCTCCGTTGTGCAAGTCGCACGTCAGAAAATAGCCATTTCATTGGCTAGGTTCCGCTGAATATACCTTAAATAATTCTAAACACGGCGCCCCAAACCCTAAACCGCAATCAACACTTGTGGGTTCTGAAATGCGAAAACACATGACCGGAAACCCCTTGAACCTCAAACCATGAACCCTAATACCCCAGGGTTTACGGTTTAGGGTCTAGCGCACTGCTGCGGGCTATCAGTCCGGTCCAGATCTGACAAGGCCGTTGCAAAAAGGGTTCGACGCCCAACCAAAACCTCTAGCACCGAAGCCTTAAGCCTAAACCAAGACAGTCCATCGAGGTATCTGGCCTGCGCCTCTTTTCAGATCTCAACTGCCACGAGGAGGCAACAGGAGAGATTCGTGCTAAAGTTTGGGGTTGAAGGTTGAGGGTTTAGAGTTTAGGGATGGTTTTGGGTAAATGTGTAGAGGGTTTCGGGCACCTTACTCTAAACCCTAAACCCTAAACCCGCAAAGTGCATCATCTCTTCCAGACTTGCGGGGTTTCAGTGAAACCTGTAAGTGCCCTGAACTTTCCTCAGAACCCAGACGCCTCAAGCCCTATATAATAATATAGGCCCTAAGCCCTACAGAAACCGTAAGCCCAATGCCCTAAACACTACAGAAGCCGTAAGCTCTAAACCCGACAGAAACCTCAAGCCCTAAACCCTAAAGTCTAAACCCTAAACCCTAAACCCTAAACCCTGAAACCCTAAGCCCCAAACCCCTAAAGTCTTCAGCATCTGAGGCTCTGGGGGGGCAGCTGGTTGGCTTCCTGGAGTTTGGGCATAGGAAGCACTTCGGGCTTCAAGGTTTCAGGCGGTTCCTGGTTTAGGGTTTAGGGTTCAGGGTTTAGGGTTCAGTGTTTAGGGTCTAGGGTTTCTTCACAGCTGGGCTGTCCAACTGCATAGCTTGTCATGAGTACATGTTGTGCGGGGTTGTGCAGTCATGAGTGCTGCACTGCTTCACGGCGACGGCAGTTCCGGGCGAGAGAAGCTTGCTGCAACAAAGGGTCCAGGGTTTAGGGTTAGGGGTTTAGGGTTTAAGGGTTTAGGGTCTAGGGTTTAGGGGTTTGGGGTTGAGG